TATATGTCATGCCTCTTATGCCTCCAGTCAGACAGGGGAAGTCTCCTGCTAAACCTAAGAACACCAGCTTATCTCCATATTTTGGAAGCTTTAACTTAAGATTGTTTCATACATTTTGTTTATTACACTACTAAGGCAATAAAGCAACTTTAAAGGTTCAGTTGGTTACTTACTGTTTAAATGTACGGCCAATGCCTTCTTCTTTGTTCCAGCCCATCCCTTTAAGCATAGCCAGTCCATAAGCCTCAACCGGAACAGTCTCATAATCTGCCTCTGTTGACTGAAAAACAAAAACTGTTATTGTCGTTTAGGAAGTGCGTAAAGTGTTCAAAAAAAGAGAGATGATGACATACAGAAACCGTGGTTTTCATTAAAAAATAGAGTCAGGCCTAAATGAGGTGTTTATGTAATCTTTGAGTTTGGAAACACAAGAAACTGCCAGAGGCGACTGACAGAGAAACAGTTTATGATGCCGGTCTTACTCAGCATTTTGACTCCAGGCTGTAAGACTCATCCCGGGCTGAATAAAGTCACCAGGCAGCAGCCACAGAGACCGTCATCTGAGCAGTGGCCCGACTCGGCTCTGTCTCTGCTGAAGGCTTTCCTCTGAGGGAAGCCTGGAGCAGAGGAGACTGCATTAAAATTAGCTGAGGGCACACTGAGCCAGTTTCCCCTGACTCTCCTGCTCTGACAGACACATCTACAGTGACTGAGAGCAGATACGGGGTGACAGTGATGGGACGTGAGGCATCTGATGAAAAGAAACAGAAAAGAGGTCTGATTGGTTGCCTGCATGTCTCTGGGGAGACGCCTGTCTGCCACCGTGGCCTTACTGTACCATGAACATACGCATGCGCACAACTGGGAACACACACGGGTGTTTATTCTTGCTCAGTTGACCATCAGCACTTTCACACACTCAAATTTCAATCTGAGCCAAAGTAGCCAGTCTACCAGACTTTGTACAGTCAGGCATTTTTATGTGCTCATTGAAATGCCACTCTAGCAGATTCAATTTGATATTTATGTCTGACATCTTCCAAAGAAATTACAGAGAACTAAACACCATTGAGCCAGGCCCTTATCAAAAAAAACCTAAGCCCTCAAGCAAGGCAGCAAACATTAGAAATCTTGTCAAAATGAAAGCATAAAGGAAGGATAATAAATTTACATGAATCTGACTGATGGCAAATAACACAGAGTTAGCTAGCACTTTCAAAGTATATGGTAAATGTTATCAATTAAGCATGGTGGGGAAAATCATCTGTATAAACTTGAAAACGAGTGCACCAAGTTAAAAGGATCAACGTTTTTTTTTTCTAACCTAGCCACCGTGTATCCCAACATGTTCTTCTCTGCTTCATAGTAAGGAGTATTTCAGTCAGTCACACAACTTGTATCCATACTCACAGATTCAGGCCGTAGATCCACCTTCACTTGGTCTCCATCCTCAAAGCCGTCTGGCACTTTGTTTTGCATCAACAGTGGGATTCTGAGGTTCAGGTTTCTCTCCGACTGAGGGCCATTCTGCCACTCCTCCAGCTGCCTTCGGGAATCTATCAGAACGGAGTGGAGATGTATGAGCCACAGCAGACTGCTGTTCAACATGAGCCTGCTTATTCTCAAGGTTTCTTTGCCACTCTGACTTTGCTCAATGTTGCTTCGTGCTGTGCTCAGGATGGATTGATGTTGGGTTTAACAAAGAGTCAAGTCTTCTGTCTGCTCTTCAGTGAACTGTATTGAGATACATTTGTTATGAATTGGCGTTTAATGTCTTTTCTTACTCGTTTTATCTTCTTTTACTTCTTACTGTTCTTTTATTTATGCTCATATCTTAACTCCTCTTATGTTTTAACTTGGTAATTTCTTATCTTACTTAGTCTATTTAATGTTTCATATTTATATTTACTTTCTATTTTTATTAATATTATAGTTTTGGGTTTTCTTTAACCACTTGTTTCTATTTATTTTACTGCTCTTACCTTCTTATTGCTGTTCTCTTTTTTATTTGCTTTAAGCTCTTTTAGTTTCTTACATGTTTTTAAATCTTTGCTCCTCTTGGTCTCAGCTCGTGTTGTTGGGTTCTTGTGTTTCCTGGGTTCTTATGATGGTTCTTGTGACGGTCGGGTTATATATGTCTGTTGGGTATCGTGCACTTTGGGTTCTTTTCTGTTGAATTGTATTTAATTATTTTTTAGTATTTTGCATTTGTTATGTTCTTGCTGTTGTTAATGTTCTTCTGTGTTTGGTTTAGTTTGACAAAGCACTTAAACCTGTGTTTTTAAAAGGTGCTATATAAATAAAGTTATTATTATTATTAATAATAACAAATAAAGACTGATTGATGTATGAGGAGCTTTGTGTTCCAGTAAGTTAATAGCAGTCTTATTGAGGAGCATACAGTTCATAAACTCCTCAAATCATAACCCCCCCCCCCCCAACAAGACAGGAATACAATGTGCAATAATTACCTAACTGCTGCTAACTGTTCAATATTACTTGTTAATAATTTTGTAACTCACTGTTTTGTAATTGTCTATTTATTTACTCATCCAGTCACTGCACAATAATAACTATATATACTCTTTCACTGCACTATAACTTCACTTATTTGCATTATATATCTCTATATTTATATTTGTTTAATTAATCAGTCACTGCAAAATAATAACTGTATATATTCTTTCAGTCACCACGACTGTCTATTTATTTATTATTATTATTATTATTATTATTATCATTCATTCACTGAACAGCAATTTCTCTGGCCACTTTTTTGCATACTTCTCTCTCACATCACCACAAATACATTGTTGTTGTCTTTGTAAACGCTGCAGTTAAAGATTTGCTGCTCACACAGTTTCGTTGTGTCCTCGTCTACAATGATAATACAGATTTTTTATCTATGTTAAGTTCACACCTTCAATGAGTTCTTTGACAGCCTGAGAATCCACAGAATCCTTTTCCTGGGTTGCTTCTTGCGTTTTGCCTTCACCACCATCGCTCTGGACCACTTTCTCTGTTTTGTGCCAGCGGTTCTTCTGGATCAGAGGGATGATGAGCTCTTTGGGCTTCTCGGATGGTTTAGTGCTGCAGCGGGACAGAGCAGAGAGACAGCTGAAACAACCTTAACTTCCATTCATAAACACGGCACACACCCACAATTCATAACAACACATGTTCATTATCACTAAAAAAAATAATGTGCTTGTTAATCCTCCGGGTTTAATTGCCGAGCTTTGATTGAAAGGAAACGTAACAGTTCCGCTAATGCTACAACAGTTAGCATTAGCACCCGCCGCCTACCTTTGCAGTTCATTTTTGTCGATTCCGGTCAAGTAGTCCCTCTCGTCTTTCTTAAACGCGGCGTCGCCAGTTGGAGGTTTTAGTTTGCTCACAGTTTTAGTGAAACCAAACGACACAGCCGGGTTCTTTCGCTCTCCAGGCTCCCCAGAAGCTACAGAGTTGGGGGCACCTGTATCGTTCGCCAGCGACGCCATTACTGTTTGAAACTGATCGGAGCGTGAGAGAAATGCATTCTGGTAGATGTAGTTCTTTCTGCTTTAGGTGTATCAATGTAGCCCCTCCGAATTACCACAACTCCCATCATGCGTCGACATTAAAGGTCCAACGACCGGTTAGCGGATCGAGATTGAAATGAGATTTAATCGAATTTTTGTGGTGGAGACACAAATAAAATTGATTATACTCATCTGGAAAGAAGGAGCAAGAAAGACAATAAATAAATAAATAAATAAATAAAAATGTAGGCCTATTTAAATTGTTTACATTTTTTGGACCGATGATAACACGAAATGAACCAAAAATTGAGCGATAATAAAATGTGGAGTTCTTATTAAATTGAGTTTACAACTATTATGATATTTTTTTTTACATTTTCTACTTTATATGCCTGCTCCATGCGTTTCTTTTTTTTTGACATGTTGCACAATTTTATTATTCATATTCCTTTCACAGATATTTTAATTCAGACCTAATATTGGGGAGGGTATTGATTTGACATATTACTTATAGAACTTTTCTTCAATGAAGATAGTTTTAAATTGACCTACACTTAGCCTAACTCGCGCAGCATTATAAATAGATTTGTCACTGTTATCGGAATACATTAATCACAGCTCAACACAATACGCATACAACACAGTTTTTGTGTAAAACCTCACTTGATAATTTGGTTCTCACGCCTTTAAATCCAGGTTGTAACTCGTAAGCGAAAAGTGATGCTGCTGATGCAGGTACAGGACTGGGAAGAATAAGGGGCGGTACTTTTAACTCTTTTATTCCCTCCCCTTTGTGCTCCTTAACTTCCCAAGATAACCTTCCCATGTGCCTTCTTTCGTTGTTTCCTTTTTTTTTTAAGTGCCTTTTGGAAGAAGGAACATCAACCTGAGCACACTTTCTCCTGGACATCTCATCATGTATACATCCTAATCTAATCAAATCTTCGGCAACTGACGCTCCGCGCCCTGATTGCACTGCGACTGCGGCTCAATGACACCTACTCGGCCACACACAGGCGATTGTCTGTTGGGTTAATTGTTGCATCGGTTTAATTGTTAAACCAAACTACATCTGCATTCAAGTTAATAGCAGTGCCAGCTAAACGAGGACTAGAAGCAAGGATTTGAAGAGAAAGCGAACATGAAGGTAAGAAACAAGTCCAGCACTTATTGTTTAATAGCCCATGCTAAGACTTCACACTCCTTACCCAAGTTAAACAGGACGTTATGACTATGCCATTTGTCCATCCTCGGCGTCGTTTTGCCTATAGCAGTGCAGCAGCTGCTACATTTGTAAGCGTCCGCTGCCAGATTTGCCCGATAGTGTGTCTTTGTATGTGTGTGCATGTGTGTACGTGAGTGTCTGTGTATTATTCCCTCTCTCTCTCTCTCTCTCTCTCTCTCTCTCCTCTCTCTTACTCTCTCTCCACAAGATCCCTCAGCTCTCAGAGCATCACTGTCCAAATATCCCGTCAGCCGTGCGCATCGGCTCTCTCTGACTTTCTCTGGGATACGATACTCATCACTGCATTCCCACGCTGCTTTTTTTTTTTTTTTTTAACCATCTCACATAAGGGTCCTGGTTTGTTTTATTGTTGTTGTTGTTGTTGTTGTTTTAAACACACAACAACATATTTATTCAAGTGCATGCTTGGTGTTTAACCTCAGCCGGGTCAATGTATATAGACGCGTTCAAACGGATCCTCTTTGAAAGGCTGAACTGCTTGAAGAGGATGTGTGTGTGTCAGCGCCAGGGCAGGTCAGTATTTTGCCTAAATATGAGAAATTTGAGAGTCTGTTGTGTGTAACCAAATAGTGTGTGTGTGTGCGTGTGCGTGTGTGTGTGTGTGTGTGTATGTGTGTGTGTTTGAAAGAGAGAAGATGAGAGTGTGTGTGCATGTAAACTACTCAGCCAGTGTGAGTGTGAAAGAGAGTGATGATTGTGACAGATTTTAGGGATAAGCGAGTCATTTTGACAGATGAAGTTTACCTTTGTCAACAGCAGGTGGTCATGCGTGTGGGTGTGTGTGTGTGTGAGAGAGGGAGTTTGTGTGCACATGTTAACTACTATAAGGTTTGAAAAGTTTGTTATGAATTGTTATTTTTAGATCGAGGTGTTCTTTTAAAAAAAATATCTATTTATGAATATCCTGCTGCAGAAATCACACGAATAAAGAGGAAACAGGAGTTTCATGTTTGCTGCACATGTATTCATGTTGTCATGAAAAATACTCTGACTTGCAAAATGTACTGTGTAGTTCCCAGCCAGGTGTGTGTGTGTGTGTGTGCATGTATGTGTAGGAGTGTGCATGAGTGCCCCACAGCTCTGGGAGTGTGTATAGCTGTTTGTTTAGGGCGTGTCCCATTTTTTTTGAAGTGATGGATAGTGACCCTGACTTAATGTTTTGCATTGCTCCGCGTTCTATAAGAAGTCAAGGTTATGCTATTATTATTAAGAATCATTAATTTGTTGGAGGGACAAGAAGCAGAGACATGTGGTGTGTTTGAGTGTGCACATATGCTCTCATGCTGCTCTGGACCTCACACTGTTTGTTTTCCTCTCATCATGTATGGGCCCAGCAGCACCTGACTCACACCATAACTAAGCAAAGCCTTTTATTCTGGGTTTGTCGTTTTTTTTCATGTCAATTCTCTGCCCGAGTTTGAACTGACAGTAAGTGGAAATACATGTATGGGTACCAACATGACTCTGCTCTCACTGCTAACCAGAGTGGAGGATGAAGTGAGGTGCATTTCTCCTCTGTCATAGTAATGCACGTCAGCTGGGACTACTTGATTGTCTAATTATGTACCTCCTGTGTCCTTCGGCATCATGCATATTCATGCTGCTTTTTTAAGGTGAGGTGAAAACAGTGTGTGCATGTGTGTGTGGTCCATGTTGTGTGTGTGTGTGTGTGTGTGTGTGTGTGTGTGTGCACATGGCAGTTTACCCTTGACAGGGCAGGGCTACGCAGGCATTTTCTCCCATCTGTGGTCCAAACCTTTGCTCCCAGCCACTGCATTTGGATTCAGCAGTTGTACCCTGCTCTATTCTTAGTCCTCAACAAATCATGTGGAGTCTGATGTGAAATGTTAACAACAATAACAACAACATTTCTGTGCTGAAACTAAAGTAGAGTTATTCCAATACTGATAAATATCAGTATTGAAATATCAAAAATGCCTCTGATAGAGCCCAAGTTCAATACCTGGTGTCAAAGAGTATGCCCGTCAATTAGCTGATAGCACCCCCCCAAAAAATGGACGTGTTTCTTCTTCTCCAAAACAGAACCCCGCACACTGATAATGTATATCATGGCTGCAATACAACTGATGCTTTAAATCACAAGTAGAAGAACTGATTTCAGGTAAACCGTCATGCGATTAGAGCACGAAACAACAGTTAGTCAAAGCTATAGCATCTCATTTGAGTTTAACTGTCACACTCATTTTAAGAATTTATATTTTTAAATGTAAGCTAAGATAATATAAAGTTTTAATGTCAAATACCAGGGTTTCTTTGATGCCATTTGGCAGACAGACGTCAGGCGAGGTTGCTAGAAGTGCTGCAGCTAATGTTAGCGTAGCTTGAGTTTAAGGCGTTTAAGGTTTGTTTTGTTCAGTTTCCTGAGGTAGGCACTTCAGCTATCACAGCCTTACAGGGCTAGTAGTATACAGCTGTTGAAAATAATGCCACACAGAGTATATGTTTCCCTAGCACTGGTATTTAAAGCGTGTTACCAACTAATTCAGGTATCCAGGTATCTGAATTAAGTCCAGGTATCTGAGTTTTCATTGGTAATAGAAACAATTAAATGGAAACATCCCTTAACACTACCTCTAGTCTTATCAGAGCATTACATTTACACACTTGGGTACAGCAGTGTTATCGTTTGTATTGCTCTACAGGTTCTCATTGATCTTTATTTAATAGTTTACATGCAAAGATTCTTGCCCGATGTTTAGTTGTGTGTGTGTTCGTGCGTGCGTGTGTTTGTCTGACCATAGACAGAAACGCTTTAAACAATCTTTGTTCAAACTTGAACAAAACATTGTGAACTGAATTGGAGAGTGTCAAAGAACAAAAGGCTATAAAAGGCAGCGTCACAAAGGAAGCAATATATTGCCCGGCTTACAATGTTGCAATATAATGAATCACAATCCCCCATATCACAATACATGTTGGCATTTCCTCATTTTAATCCAATGCACAGCCCTATACTGTCTGTGTGCACTGAGATTCAATTTGGTTTGGATAAGCCTCCATTAAGTGGTTGGACTCTGACTGAGGTAGCAAATCAATAACTAATCAATGATAGTGTGAGGAGTTACAATTTACACTGTGCCATATTTGAACTGTCAAGAAGGCAATGAATCCATGTATCCTTGAGTCAGATGTGAGTTGGACAACTGGGATCAATATCAGGTGGTGAGACAGGCAGGCAGGAGCAGGCGAGGGTCACCTTCACCCATCCCTACTGAATCAGCAGTATCTCTCTTACACACACACACACACACACACACACACACACACATCAAGGCCTGCTTAGGTTACCAAGCTGCGACCTCACAAAAATGCTCATTATAGTGAACTGAACTGAACCTCCATTTCCTTATGAATAATACATTTTGTTATTAAGATTTCCGCCATTTATTAATAAGGGTACCACACCCGTCGTTATGGCAATTCTAACGTTTCATTCCATTCTGCTTCCAGTCTGGTGCTGACTCTATTTTCTGCATCATCCTCTTTAAATTTTTACCTAATTTTCCTGCTTTTATTTTTTTTTCCATCTTTCTTATCCCTCATCTCTGTGGAGACACATGGTCTGCTCTGTTTAATTAAACTGCTCCCTCCTCCAGATGAGGGTTCATCTCTGATCACAGCGAGGAGTGTAATGCATCCTGGCAGACTGACTAAGATGACCTGTTGTTGTTGCAACCGTGGTGTTCCTCAGAAGTGCAGTGTGTACACAACATGCGGGCTACTACCCCCTGACTTGACCTTGATCCCCTGACGTTTTCCCCCCCAAAGAGAACATCAGTGAGTGTGTGTGTTATCCCATCAGGTGTGCGTGTGGGTGTCACTTTAATTCTCAACGATGATTGAATCTTACTCTAAGTCCCAGTCAATAGAAGAGCAGCTTTAATATCAAATCACACACAGGAATAGATTGTGTATTCATTCATGGCGTGTGGATGATATTGACTTTTCATTCCATGTATTCTTATCAGCTTTTTCATGTATACTTTATAGGGTGGAGTGAAATGTTTCCGTGCGTGTGTGATAGAGGGAGACATTTTGTGTTTTGCGACCCACAAGCATTTAATCTTTTATTTTTAAATCTGCCTCTGCTGTCTGTTTTGTGTTGAGCACTCTCGTGCCCTAGATTTGAAAGCGAGTGAGCATCAGGGAGCTTTACGGCACCCCACGTTGCTCACACAGTTTCGGTGTAAATATTTGGCGGGAGAGGTCAGGGTACAGATTTCAGATAAGACCGAGAAGTCAGACTGGGACAATGCTTTCGTGCTTTTTTTTGTTTTTTGTTTTGTTTGTCAGTCTGCCACTCCAGCGGTCTATTAGATGAGATGAATTAAAGGTCAGTGGTTATTCAAGATGCCTCACTTGTCTCACCTTCAACCCCCGTGGGAGGATGCAGTGAGATTAGGAGCAGTGTGCTTCACTACAGGTCAGGGTGAAGTCCTGCACTCTGCACAACATACCTCTGTTTGGAACTGGAAGGTTATCTTTGACAATGTGTCAAAATGTTTTTCAAGAATTGAGACTGTTGTTTAGTTTAGCCGTTCACTCCATTATTTTTTATTCCAGTTGACTTTTAATCTGCTTGTCTTTCTCTTTACAGGTTTGGAATTAGGTTATCAATCAATCAAGACTTTCATCCTGTGGTTTTGGTATTTGATATTTCTGTTGGAAATTTGTGCAAGATTTATATATTAACTAAGATTTTAGCAGTTTTTTGCACATTATTTCTTAATGAACATATCACAATGCAGAGCTTAATCCATCAGTTCATTTATTGAAATTAATCAGCAATTCTTAAAATAATGAAACTAATTATCTTGAGTTTTAAGCTATTATGATAAAATGTGGTGATCACAGCTTCACAGTTGTGTAGATTCTGTGGATATCTTTTGCCTGTTTGGGACGAGGGGAGACATTTGAGCAATTCTGGCAAATCATTTCTCATGATGTTTTTTTAGAATATTAAAAAGTAAAAGAAAAACAAATCAGCTGCGTGAAAATAATTGTATCTATTCTGTTATCATGCTTTAATAGTCTACGTTTTCTCTTTCTAAAGCATAAACCATTTATTGGTTTTAAAAGCTGCTATTAGTGGAAATTATATGTGGCTGCAACTAAAGATGATTTCTGTAGCATTTATCTGTTCGTTTCAATAACTGATTTCTGTTAAGTGATCTTTTATTCAGTGTTTTCTAAAAAAAAAAGTCCTATCAGGTATTCCTTCATCAGATACACTGCTCTTATCCCAAAAAAATCAATTCAGAATTAAAATAATTTTTTTTAGCACAGAAATCCGGATTATATAACAGAGCAATAATCAGACTCATGTAAATCGATTAAGTTGTCTCTAACAAGATGTAATTGTCATTGTTGAACTTTTTACACTCATTCAGTAATAATTTGATAATGATGGTAATCGATATCTGCAATGATACTGAACAAGAACAGAAGAAAGTGAACAGTTAAGAAATATTTGTGTTTTTTTTCTGTCCAAC